TTCACTGTGTCCCATATATCTGAGGTTCCTGTTACCATTTATCCGCTTTGATAATCCCTCTACTACATCATCCCCACTTACGCCTTTTTTGGCCTGTCCACAGGCTCAGCGATCCAAAGCCACGAGGCCCCAGCGGTGGTTTAAGGTTTCAGTTCAATCTGACGGGCTGAATGACGCCAAATCTTGTGCTACGCCCGATCTGATAACCAGGTGCCTCATTTTCCGCAGTTTAGAGTTTTCTTATCCTGTCAGGCAGGGAGTCCCCTCTTTTCCTCTCACTCGTTTTGTTTCTGCCGACCCACTTCAAATCTTAACGTTCTGATCTAGCTCGATGCGCTCTCCAGAAAAGCATAGTATCCGTGCTCCCCGGTCCGTGCCGGTCTTGTAATGACCACGTATACATCGGACAAACCCACCGCCTATGAAGCCGTTCTTTTCCCCAATTAACCCTGTACCCACAATCCTCGCCAGTCGTGCTTTTATTCTGACTTTGTCAAGCCTGACGGCATGCCTACCCACAATTTGGGAATAAACATTATTATCATATCACAGTACGCTTCGAATCGGGCCTTCACCAATGATTGATTGGTATCACCTTGCTCTCGGGTCAGAACTTTGCAAGGAAATTGTCAGTTAAGACTATTATTCAAATTGGGTCAAGACTGACCGAGTGGAAAGGTACTCAGACTGAATGGAGTATTTAAGGTTGGCTGCATGAGTTTGAAACGATTTTTCAATGTTCGCTGCAAAGACAAATTTAGTCCAAACAGCCCCTTAAGGAAAATACTTTTATTCGAAATTGTGCGCGTATCCTACGTTAAGAAAGGCATTGTAGCATGGACGATGCAAAAATGTTGACAACGCCCCTAACAAAGCTTATTCAATAATGAGTGTTACACGCTGATCCGTTGCACTTTTGGGGGTCGACGATAATGTCGTAGATCAGAAACAGCAGTGGTCCAAAGCAGAGCCTTGAGGAGGTCCAACAAAGACCGCCGCCGGAAAAGAGTACGTCGGGCCTACCCTCGTTTGGAATGTTCTGTCTGGTAGGGATGCCTTAATAAATCAAAACATTTTCCTTGATTCTGTAAGACTCGAGTTTTTGGGTCAGCGGGACGTGTGAGACTCTACTAGGTACTTTTGATAAGTGAAAAAATATTGCATCCGATATACGTCCCTCGTCGTTAGCTTGGGTAAGACCGTCCACAAAAATCAGCATGATCGCCTCGTAAGAGCGCTTTTGAGAGGATTGTGCGGGGAAGTGAGGATATGAAGTTGTTAGTGGTAAGGCGATCTGAGATGACTCCAGCAGCGTGGCAGATTTCAGTCTTCCCCCCAAGATTATGAACCGTGTATTATGCACCTTCGGGGTGCATAGTTCAGCAATTTATGTAATCTTCCGTTGATGAGTCTCCCCGCGTTCGCGCCGGAATATATGCGGTCTGTCCTAGAGACTTTATGTCATTCACTCGAATGCCAAACCAATAATTCCTCTGGGCTACCGCAAAAGGGCGCTAATGAGATTAGGCTGACTAAAATTAGGGATGTATGTCATCCTTTCATCGTATAAACAACACTAACCCAAGTAAAACCGTCCAAGTACATAGCGGGTTGTGTCATATCATCCACTGACACATTGTCCCAGCCACCTGCTGTTACCAAAAAGCTTCGTTTTAAGGTCTTGTTCACCGCCCATGTGGCAACTCTTCATGGGGCGATTCCTTCAAGGTTGAGCCTGATACACGCGTGCATAATCAGCTATTGCGGCCAAGTTCAAATAAGGTTCTTTAAATGGATAGCTTTGGGACCATGCACTCCGGGCGATATAAGTTTGTGGATGAGATACGGCAACTACAACACCTTGGGTGTTCGCGTTGTCTTCTGATACACTATGATAAAGCCATTGAGAAGCGTCCGGCTCGGAAATCTGGTCTGTGCACAGGAGCTAGGTGACTGGGACTTCGAGACAGAGCAGATTGATTGTCATAGTGACTGCCTGAAAATGCTTGGACTGCAAGCTTCACAGATTGCGCGGGTATTCCAACATCTTTCGATATACCTAAACTGCCAACAATGGATTAGCCTCTTACGGAAGGTGCCTTAATACGATTGGGATTTCGTTTGGAATGCCTCTTACTTGGCGGTCTCATCCAAGGTTTGTCCGTGACTGAGCCGACAAACAACCTAGTTGAAGGCATGGTGACGGGTGGAGAATTTTCGGATTAGATACGAAATCACAGATGCACTGAAATCTGCTGCTGGTGACCCGGATGACTGTGTGTGTTGGAGTGAATTTGGAGCCCCAAATTAGTGAAGAAAAAAGTTTGACTCTCATGTTCAGACGTCAATAATCTAGACTTCTGAAATGTCTAGGTCACCGGTGAGAGCGCCTGGGAGTAAGAACGATCAGCGAATATGTAAGCCTCCGAATTCGTATCAATCATTTCAGCCTATCGGTAATAATGCTCGCACCGGATGTACACCGCATCCACCTAATGCAATTTTGGTCACCGAAAAACATACCAGCAGGGAAGATTTAGTTGGGCAGTGGGGGCGACCGTATAACCGACTAGGTTTTGCTGAATATTACTGGTTGCCAAGTGTGCGGGGAGTCTGAAAAGCTGCGTAGCAAAGGCGAAAACATTGGATCAGCTGGGCCACTGCCCTGTGAGTGAGCTACATGCCAATGCTATTAGCAATGGATGAGTCGTATCTGCGGGTCCACACCCAATGAGACACGGGTTGCCGAGCAAATTCTGTTTGCTGGCTTCGGCTTCAGTGCTTTATTGTCAGGTTGTAGACTTTCCGTTTCCTGGTGGTTACGCAGTTCCCGACTAAAAGGGATTTGGAATGTAGATGGCACTGTGATTTGCATACTCAGTGTTTTGCCTTGTCAATCACGTAAAAGTTTCATCCTTTTAAGGGATTCTGGTAAAACTCAGCATCGTTAATTCCGGGTTCTCACGTACTCAGTCAGTGCTTTAGAGACACCATGGTCAATCACCGAAAGTTTCTTGCACTCTCAGTGCATTGGGAGGAGGGTGTATTTCCGACCAGAAACAGAATGGGCGGCAATCCCGTGTATACAGTGGCCTTGAGAGACGAAGTGCCGTGAGTCCAACGCTATGCACATCGCGTTGCAATGACGGTAATGCCTCAGCCCACTTCACCGTCTGGATCCTCTGAGCAATCGTTTTCGGTAAAAGAAGCACCAAAGGTGCACAGAATGTACTAAGCACCTAAAACCAGGTCAAATAAGTATTACTGCGCATCGTGTGAGGCGCAAACGTTCTTGAAATTACGGTGCCTCCTGGACTCGACATTGCAACTAGCATCCGGTGGGTAGTGAATCATGATTGGCTGCTGAGCGACCCTTACGGCCTGCCCTGATGATGGAGCGGCAGACCACATCACCTGACCAATCGCGTGCGGGTTGGGCCTCTTGGCCAATTCGAGGGTTGAGATCGTCTCCAGTAGTCCGCTGGCACACTTACAGCTGTTCAGGTAAGTCGATTTTATTTACCTCGTCGATTGGTTGGTCTACAAGAATGAGGTTTCAGTTTGCTCGAACGCAGTCATGGATCAGCACTTTTTATGTCCCGTAGCGAACATTGCTCAAGAACTGGTTAGTTGTTTAACTTGCATCACCTAAAGATCTGAACAAAGAATAACAATATCATTTGCTCGTGGACGAGCATCCTAGGGCACTGTCGTCCCGAAGTTTCGGTGGCAAGCAAAGAATGGTAAAGTTAACAAGATATTGTGAAAAAGTGATGTATTTTTACACTGGACGGGATGAACTCAAACGGCAGCTTGTTGCATACACTCACACGCCTACATGAGGTGACGTACGACGCCATCATAAGGATAACAATTTGGAAGAGGCGTTTCTAATCGCCAAGCCCTTCCATTGTCCCTGAAGATCGATTCAATCAAAATAGGCCTTCAGATAAAGTAGCCTTTGGACGCTTGGGAGAGTAGCCCTGTTCGAGGATCTATCTCAGAGTATAGATGTGGTCAATGCAACCTCGGTTAAGTCTTGACCTATCCTGATTTTACGGATCTGCTTACCATGGTAATTGGCCACCCTGTGCCAGATAAGGCTATGACGTGCCTTGGATGCTATGGCTACAAATATGATGCCACGATGGTCTTGCAATGATTTTTCGCCCTTTTTGAGTATTCGGATCATGGTCAACACACTCGGCTACACCATTATTCTGCTTTCTCTCCAAACCTTTTCTGTTAGGTTCACCAGGTTGTCCATCAGGGTTCCATCACCTTTGAAAAGTGCTAGGTGCAAACAATCCGGTCCAGTACCTTTTCTCATTGAAGGGGTGATATCTTGCATCAGAAGTCTGTTGCTAATGTTTGGCTGTTATCAATGTATCATCCCCGTTTTCCTAGATATTGTATTGGCTTAAGATAGCTTAACTGTTCTGCGATGTTTTCAGCCTGTCGTTCGAGACATATAAATAAAATACATATATCGTCTCGCTGTAGCACCCTTTCGGTGCCTATCTGCCATGCCACACGAAGGAGACATGAGGGCTGGGATACTGCCAGGTCGCCTAAGCCTAGACAGGGGAAGTCGAGTTGCAGAGGTCGGGTTCGAACCACGGACCTTCCGGTCAGTAAATTCGTGCTCTAAGCACTTGGTCCATCTCGCTCGAGACAACACTTCTGCAAATGTATCTCCGTTTCTTCTTTTCTACTGCTGTTTCTCTGATCAAGCTAGCTGAAATGGGGCGCGGTCGCTGCGCGCAGCGGAAGCTTCCATCCTTTGGGCCTTCAAAATCCTTAGCTGAGGGTTCTCTTCCTTTATGTCCCTTGATTTTTCTCCGTCTGATGATTCCATATTCGCAATCGTGATTTGTAGTTACTGCCATCACGAAGAGACTGGACCTTATCGTGGTGTGGCGGTTTGTGTACATCAGAGACCCACTGAGCTATACTGGGGGGTGTCCGCGCGACACTCACAATCTCTCATACCAGGTTGGTCAATGGTTAGAGGTCTGTCGAACACAGTCTCCTGGCCCTCCAGGTTGGGGGTTTGAACATGTATGGCGACTTAGTCCGTAGAAGAGGTAATGCATTTGCATTTCCCCGCCAAACACCGCTGCCTTGCGGTTAGGCTTTTGAGCCAAAAGCTTTGGTTGAGGTCCCTAATCGTGCAGCTGTCTAGGTGTGGGCGCCCTGGCAGTATCCCAGCCCTCGTACAACCATGACCTACGCAACTAACACA